AAGTCAGCTCCTTCCACGTTTCCCTCATCTCCATTGATGGCAACGCCATTCTTTCACCGGCTCAAGACCAAAGTCTGGAAGGCTTCTCGACTTCTTTCTATCTCTCACCCACCACAGCAGGTCCTGCCAGAGCTACCTTCAAAACAGATCCAGAATTCAACCACTTCTCACCACTTCCATTGCTAACCACTCTGGTCCACGTTAGCATCAATCACCTCTTGCTGGGTGATTGCTGAAACCTCTCCACTGGTTGTCCTGTCTCTGCCCTTGTCCCCTTCAGCCTGGTCCCCCTCAGGATTTAGTAAGTCAGACCATGTCACCCTCCTGCTTAAAACCTTCCACTCATTTCTCAGCTAACTCCCAGCAAAAGGCAAATTTCTAACAGTAGGCTATATAATCTCTTCCTTGGACATAAAAAGCATATTCCTACCCCAGGGCCTTTGTACTTGCAGAGACAGGCATTCTTTACCTTTCTGCTTGTGTGTGCCAGTCTGCAGTGCCCATGGACTCGTTCTGAGTGCACTTTTAAATCTATAAAACACATTGCATAAATTACAAGGAAGACCGAGTCTCTTGAAACACGACTCTGAAATATTTAAAAATGTGTAATGTAGTAATTAATGTATGTGCTTCTCATTAAGTCATTAAATTGCAAGAGCTCACAGAGTAATTTAGAAGTGCTGGTGAGGGGACTATATTGGAAGCTAACGGCAACAACCATAATGTGATATGGAAATATCTGTGGTTTTGGTTAGCAGCATCACAGGTGCTGCGAATCACCACTGTGACCTGTTGCCTACACTCATAATGGATGAGCATGCTAAATTTTAATTAGCTCAATAAAGGTGGAATTTCTTTTCTTTTCTTTTTCCTGCCGGCCTAAGATCAGGACTGTCTGAACTGTATCCATAGACCTCTTGGGGGAATCTCCAAGTTAAGAACCTTTGGCCCAGAGTGCTCTTCTCCATCTGCCGGCATAGCCTTCTTTCCTTTTGCTCATAGCCCGCTTCTGGCTGACGGCCTCCCTGATCGCCTTACTTTACATTGCACCCCTACCTTCGCCCCTTTCCTTGTTTCCCCCCTCTACTATGTAGCACCTTCAAACACAGAACATAGTTTACTTTTTTTTTAATTGTCTAGCTCCCTCCGCTCCTAAGTCAGTTCCCCAAGAGTTGAAATTCTTTTCTGATGGGTTGTGCTCTGACCCCAAGACTTAAGAGTTGTGTCTGGCATAGCCCACTCCCCTCAATCAATGTCCATCAAATAAATAATCACATCTCCAAACTTTGCTCCATTTCCATTCCCCCCCTACCCCGGCAAAAGGTTAATGGATGATTTGTGAGACTTTTAATAAAGATTAGTATTAACAATTAACCTTATCACTATAATTATGCTAATATTGCCAAGACTAAACTTAAACAGCAGCAGGGACTCAATGTGAGAAATTGAGGGTCCTGGTGGGGCTTCCAGACCTCTGCAACAGGTGTCTCCCATGAACCCTTTAGGGGGCCTGGGTCCCACTCAAGCCTGGTAAAATCCTGCTCAGCTTTCCATGATGGCAGTTGGGCTCCCAGCCCCCAATCAAACCAATAATACTAATGCATTGATTTATGGCCGGGTGGTCAGTGGAAGCCGGTATGGTTTCCATAGGCCTTTGAGGTTAACTGGACCAAAGTTACCCCTTGTGTCTCCACTTATAAGTGGTGTGCCTGTTGATACGTTCTGAAACCTTTCTGAACACTTAAAGAGGGGCTTTTGTAAGGATGGGCTGGCTCCATGCACCACACAAAGCAGGTGCTCTGTACATTTTATCACCATGTGCCAAGGTACTAGAGGAGAGAACCTGGCTTATCCTCTCATGCGTGCCAACACTCTGCAGCCACACTCGACCACTGTAGATGCTGCCACTGTGAGCTGGCCCTTCCCTCGTCCTGCTGGACCCCAAGCCACCGAGCTGACGCTAAGGTTTGGACCACAATTGCTATACCTTGTGGTTCTCTCTCTTGCTCATCCTTGGATGCGTCTTCAAAGAGAGAAAGATGGCAATGACTGTCCCCAGTGTCCCAGTGTCAGGAGCGTCTCCGAAAGCACATGCAGCCTTCCAAGCACAGACTCGTGGGCGGCAGCACACCCCGCCTCAAGAACCCTCCAACTACTCCATTCTACAGCTGAGAAAAGAGAGACCCATTCACTTGCCCGCATCAAGTCTGGTCTCTTCTACTGAATGGCAGCATCAGGATTGGACGCAGGAATTTAACCCTGCCTCCACAAGACCACAGCCTGGGACACCTGTTTCCAGGCACTGGGCATGGGTTTAGGAAAATCCTACTAATTGCCAACGGAGAGCCAGAGCCAGGTCTAATGGGAGGTGAGCCCCAGTCCCTCCTCCCCCTTCTCCTCCAGGGGCCTTCCCAGACTTTGTGAATGAGCTCAAGGAACAGAAGCAGTGCAATGGCTCCCTTTGAGCTCATATTTCTCTCTTGTTGCAAAAAGCTCTTATTTCAGCATCCATCATCTCCCTCTTTGTTGTGCAGACAATCTGCCCTGTCGGAGGATTGGTGCTGTTATTATGAGTTTGTTTATTATTAGATTTATTTCTCCTATAAGCAAATGTGTTCACAACATTCCATCGGGGAATCTTCTTAATTGTCACATAAATGTCATCTTATGTAAATTGAATATTTATCTTTCCATGGAAGGGAAAGAAAGAAAAAACAATCTTCAGTCTTGGAGAGAGAGGCGGTTCCTGTTCCCGTTCACAACTCACTCATGTGCCTTCAAAGTCAAAGGTGAGCTGAGCTGGGGGTTAGGGCGGGGGGAGAAAAAGAAAATCACTGATCATCTTTTGAGGGGCAGCCAAGGAGGTGTGGGGGAATGGGGAGGAAAAGTTGGCAGTGATCCTAGGGGGATGTTGGGCCAAGCTCCCACGTCTTCCCTTTCTCCCCCGCCAGA